TCTACTACCTCTCTGTGCCTCAGTTTTCTAATCTATTCAATGGGCTGGGAGAAGACTCAGATGAGGTAGTGTGAAGGCATCTGTCAAACACCACAAGAAGTAATAACAGAGGTGTCCTCAGTATCACTGGGGCACTAAGGACTCCATAGCGGCTCTTTCCCTCTATAGGAGCTCCAGGCTATTTGACCCTCTTGCTAGGTTCCCTTTCTGCCAGGTAAGCAAGCCATATAAGGCTTCCCTCAGATACATCAATTGTGCGAAAAGCATATGCTCTGCAAACCTAGCAATCATGCATTTATATATTTACTCAGCATCTGCTGAGTGCCAGGCCCCATGCAGCAAGTGACAGCCTCCTGGCTGCTCAGGGATGTCACCACCATGCACTTCACACCTCCAGGCCTTTGCTTGTGCTGTGTCTTCAGCCTTGGATGCCCTTTCTCCCTTCTCCGCTCCACTTTGGAGCCTTCCTTAATTCCAGACCTCAGTGATTCACGTTTTCTTGTTTCTACAGCTTGTTGCTGGTGCCAATGCAAATAAGTGTATAGATAGATTGCAGTTATTTTTTTCAAGCCTATCCTATCAGCTGGCTGGGCCTGTCTCTTGTATGGGGCAGAGCACCTGTTACCGGCTAGCTTCAATCAGGTATGGGTGGAGATCAGGCCTTGGTCCCCATAGGTGTAATCTTCAATAATTCCACAGGGTGGCAGCAAACCCCTCCAGACACAGCCCTCCCAGGAGCACGGAGCTTCCAGGCTCCCAAAGCTCTAGAGAGGCCCCTTCAAGCTTACTTTCTACTTTACCTCATCCCCACCCTCCACTTGGGTGACTTTGCCCTGCCCACCCCAGTTTCTCTACCTGTAACAATGGATTGTTTGCACACTTAAACTGCATACTTCACTTATTATGAATTTATAGCTTTTATCAAGATGTAATTTACATACCATACAATTCATGCATTTAATTGTGCAATTCAATGGTGTTTAGTCTATTCGCATAGTTGTGCAAACATCACCAAAATTTTACTTTTTTATATATTTTTTGTTAATTCTCACCCAAGGATTTTTTCCACTGTTTTGTTTGTTTGTTTTAGAGAGAGTGGAAAGGAGGGGGGGAGACAGAAACATTGATGTGAGAGAGACACATGGATTGGTTGCCTCCTGCTGCAACCTGTATGTGTCCTTGACCAGAATCGAACCTGGGACCCTTCAGTCCGTGGGCCAATGCTCTATCCACTGAGCCAAACCGGCTAGGGTTCATCACCACAATTTTAGAACATTTTAATCACCCCCCAAAGAAACTCTGTACCCATTAGCAGTCGCTCCTCATTTCCCCCAATCCTCAGCCCCCAGATCTAGGCAACTACTAATCTCCTTTGATGTTCTAGACATTTCATATAAATGGAATCACACATCATACAGTCCTTTGGGACTGGCTTCTTTCACTTAGCATAATGTTTTCAAGGTTCACCCATTTAAAAAAATACCTTGTTTTATGGATATACCACATTTCATTTTTTCATCAGCTGATGGACATTTAAGTTGTTTACCCATTTTATCCAGTAGGGATAATGCAATGAAGAATACCGGCATATGAGTTTTTGTGTAAACATGTTTTTAGTGAGTTCCAGGTTATGCTGAGTGGGCTAACTTGGGTATCTGGGTCCACGAGGGGGGTGAACTTGCAGTCCCCAAGGCTGGCAGACAATGACTTTTTCTCATGATGGTCTGTGGATGCCACTGTGGGCAGCGCCGATAATGCCAATGGCTTAGCTGATGCTGGGAGGAGCACAGAGCCTTACAGAGCTTTGCCTCTTTAGGCATCTGGCTGGAAGTACCAGTGAGTTACAGACACTCAGGAAGAGAAGAGGAAGGAGAAGGCCAAGACCCATGACCTGAAGAAAAGGCAGCTCATGAGGCTACAGAAACAGGCCTACAGAAAACTGAGAGGCACAGGGATCCTCAAGGCTCATGGACTCCTTGTCTGAACCCAATAAAAATTGACTGTTAATTACTAAGAAACAAGTTTTAATTTTTCTTGAATATACACCCAGGAATGGAACTGCTGGGTCAGGTAGTGACTACACGTTCAGCCTTTTGAAGAACAGACAGACTGTTGATGACAGCAGCTGCACCGTTTTTCATTCCCACCAGCAGTGTGTGAGGATCTGGTTTCCCCACAGCCTCGTCAACACTTGTATGATCTGACTTTTTCATTCTAGCCATCCTGGAGGGAGGGAGCTGATATCTCACTGTGGTTTTACTTTTCCTTTCTTCATGTGCTTATTGGCCATTTGTGTATATTCTTTAGTGAAATGTCTATTCAGATCCTTTGCCCATTTTTAAATTGGGTTATTTGTATAGGGTGTCCCAAAATTCACGCAAGATTTGCAATTGAATTCAATTGCAAATCTTGCGTGAATTTTGGGACACCCT